ATGTTTGCTAAAGACTTCATTGTAAACTTTCATTTATGGAAATCAATATTTCTAGAGTTTCTTCAAAATCACCACTGCAGTTTTTTGTTTTGTTTTGCAAAAGCTTAAATAGTAATCTTTATCACTCTGATCTATACCTTCATGAGGAAACTTTGGAAGACGCAAAGATGAACTTCTCTACTAAATGTGGCTCTCTCAAAATAACAGAACTAGGAAAACAAGCAATTAGGAAACGACTGAGAGGCTCTTGGGTTCTTTAAGTGTTGAGATCAAGCAGAGAATATAGCATTTCGCTTGTCTGTTTCATTTTGAGCAGACAAGTTCATATTCATGAATGTTATTCCACTGCTTAAAACTTTCAGTGTCTTATCACTGAACTGAGATGAAATCTAGGCCCTGCCATTTCTTGGATTTCAAACTAGAGTAATTAACTTAGCTTTTCTATGCATCATTTGCTCTTCTTTATTTTTTACATCTATTTTTAAGAGGAAGAGAGTTTGCAATAACCATCTCAAAGGCATTTGTGCTATGCATAATATATCATGTACGAAAACTTGGTGCTGGGAAAACTCTCAAGAAAAATGAAGACTACTCTCCTTAGTCTGTCATTCAGAGATCTTCCCATTGGATCCCAGCTCACCTTTCCAATCTCTCCTCTTATCATTTTCCCTTCCTCTTTTCTCTTTCTCCAATGCATCAGTGACTCCCGATATTTTAAAATCACATCTTAACTTGCCATAAACAATTCTGTACATTTACTTTGGTGTTCCCTCTGCTAGGAATGAGCTTCTCCCCTGTTTTCTCATTCACTTCCTTAGATCAGCCATGTTTATGCCTAATGCCTGAACCATAACATGTGTGCTTCATTGAAACCATGAATGTTAATGAACAAATGGTCTAAGTTGGAAGCCATCAATTTGTATTTATTTGGGAGCCACAAGGAGGTGCCCACCTCACCAGAGAATTAGGATAAGTAAAGTAAGAATGCCACTTAGAAACAAATTTTAAGATCTATATAAATATATGTAAAATTATATAGACAAGGCAGAATAGCTCCAAGGCCAGACAGACTCCATAGAAAGCAACTTGCCTGTACTACTTTACTTAAAGAAAGAATGGGAATATTGGTGGGCATGTACGCTCATACAGCCACGATGGAGTACAATATGGAGGCTCCTCAACAACCTACAAATAGAACCACCATGTGATCCATCAATCTCACTACTGAGAATTCATCCAAATGAAAGTAAACCATTATATTGAAGAGACATGTGTATCCTCGTGTTTATTGCAGCACTATTCACAATAGCCAAGATACGGCATCAGCCTAGGTGTTCAACAACTGATGAATGCATAACACAAATGCAGTATCTATACACAATGGGATACTATTCAGCTATTAAAAAAAATGAAATACTGTTGTTAACAGCAACACGGATGGAACCTGAGGACATTATGTTAAGTGAAATAAGCCAGGAACAGAAAGCTAAGCACCACATGTTCTCACTCATATGTGGAAGGTAAAAATAGTTGATCTCATAGAAGTAAAAGTAGAACAGAGGAATACTAGCTGCTGGGAAGGGTAGGGGGAAGGTAGAGAGTTGTTAAGGGGTACAAAATTACAGCTAGAAAGAAGGAATAAATTCTAGTATTCTATAGCACTGTAGGATGACTACAATTAAGAATAATATACAGTTTCACTAACACAGGAACAGAAAACCAAATACTACATGTTCTCACTTACAAGTGGGAGCTAAATGATGAGAACACATGTACATATAGAGGGGAACAACATATCCTGGGGCCTATTGGAGGGTGGAGGGTGGAAGGAGGGAGAGGATCAGGAAAAATAACTAATGGGTGCTAGGCTTAATACCTGAGTGATGAAATAGTCTATACAACAAATCCCCATGACACAGGTTTACCTATGTAACAAACCAATGCATGTGCCCCTGAACTTAAAAGTTATCTTTTAAAAAAAGAAATAGATTGCCTGATGAAAAATTTTTACATATACATATTATACTATATGTATATAAAAATATGTGTGTATGTGTATGAGTATACATATATTTGATTTCAAATAGCTGGAAGGAGGACATTGAATGTTCCCAACATAAAAACATAATAAGTACTTGAGGTGATGGATATCCTATTTACCCTGATCTGATCACTATACATTATATGTATCAAAATATCACTAGGTACCCCACAAATATGTACAGTTATTACTTATAAGTTTTAAAATTTTTTAAAAATAAAGAATGGGCAATTTAATGAAGAGTGGATCAGCCCCCTAACAAGCTTAGAAAAATAAGAATCACTGAAGCAAAAATTAATCGTGGCACTTTAGAGTACTTTTCAGGGAGAGAGTCGGGTTTCTAATGTTTCAGTTCCTACCCTGAGATTTTTAGGGAGCATGATAGATGCACCATCTTATTTTAGCCCAGTGCTGTTAAGCATTCACACTGCATAGCTCACTCTGTTCTCATTTAAGCTCACCATACAGTTTTTTCATTATTATTCTTTCCCATTATAAATTTAAAATTATTTACTAATTATAATTTGGTTTCCCAAGTGGACTCATCTACTACAGACTTCAAGAGGATCTCCATGAGGAAACTTCTACGCCTTGAAAGCCAAAGATCAAGTCCAGCCACCTTTCCTTTGACTAATGTGTCTCTACCACTTCCAGCTGCGAGATGCACCAGTGCCTATAGCTAGCACATGAAATGAGTCAATGGGAACTTAAAGGAAACCCCCCCTACACCTGCCCTAGAGGGGGATTCCATCATGAACATAGCTGAAATTCTTATCACTCTTCTTCCTTCTAAAAGTCCTGTGAATTATCTTGATAAAGGGGTTATAACAGGGCTTCCCATACCCCGGTTAGGAACCAGGCCACAACAGCAACAGGTGAGCAGCAGGCGAGCGAGTGAAGCTTCATCTGTATTTACAGCTGCTCCACATTGTTCTTATTACAGCCTGGTCTCCTCCTCCTGTCAGGTCAGCAGTGGCATTAGATTCTCTTAGACGCGGGAGCCCTAGTGTGAACTGCATACATGCCTGATGGTGTGTCACTGTCTCCCATCATCCCAGGAGGCAAACAGCTAGTTACAGGGCAAGAAGCTCAGAGCTCCCACTGATTTTATGCTATGGTGAGTTGTATAACTATTTCATTATATATTCCAATGTAATAATAATAGAAAATAAGTGCACAATAAATATAATGCACTTGAATCATCCTGAAACCATCCCCCTCACCCGTGGCCCCTGGAAAAATTGTCTTCCATGAAACCAGCTCCTGACGGCAAAAAGGTTGGGGACCACTGGGTTATGGGAGTGAGGGCCACTAGCTAACATAACGTAAGTTTCTAAGTCTCTGCTCATTAGGTATTTTGGTTGCCAGGAACAAAGACTCACTCAAGTTGCCTCAAGAAAGGTGAGTGCCCTCATACGGGGGCCATTTGAGAAGACAAGACATCCCAGAATCCAGGAAGGCCTGGGGGCAACAGGAGAATCAAGTCCAACTTGTAGGCAGGAAGATGGTTCTTTTGCCCCTTAGCAACAGGAGCTCCATAATTTTCCATTTTGTGTGTCACAGTAATGGGGTTTAGACCACTCTCCATTGCTGCCTCTCTGTGTTTTCCCTTCTGTTTTTTTTCTAGCCACTTTCTGACATCTCTTTCATTAAATATTCAGATTCCCAGAGAAGGAAAATGAGATTAGACCTCATTTGTGTTCAGGCAGAACCTTTGCAACGTGCCTCCTTGGAGGCTGCCAGCCAGGCTCCCCTTGGATCAGGCGCTCACTCTGTCCAATCGCCTAGGGTGACGTGGGGCATGTAAGTGATTAGAACCTGGCCACCTGTGCCTCAGGCACCCAGGAGGTCTGAGCATAGGGCAGTGCTTCTCAGAAGGAGCAATGGGTTGGCAGGAACCTGTAGGTTAAGGGAGTCAGATAATTAATCCAAATGGAGACCCCAAATGGAGATATGTGGATGGGCTCTATCAGAATCTCCTGGAATCCTTTTAGAAATACAGAACTCTGGGCCTCACTCCAGACTTACTAAATTAAAATCTCTAAAATCTCAAGAGGAAGCATTAGAGAACACACACACACACACACACACACACACACACACAAGGACACACAAACACACAATTTTTAAATCTCCCCAAGAAAGTACAGCTTTGACCTTGTGAGGGAACAGAGAAATGTGAAGGATGGGAAGGGTGAGACTGAAATAAAATCTTGGTTCTTTTTTTTTTTTTTTTTTTGAGACAGAGTCTTAATCTTGTCACCCAGGCTGGAGTGCAATGGCATGAACTCAACTCACTGCAACCTCCATCTCCAGGGTTCAAGTGATTCTTCTGCCTCAGCGTCCTGAGTAGCTGGGAATACCACCACACCTGGCTCATTTTTTATTTTTAGTAGAGCTGATGTTGGCCAGGCTAGTCCCAAACTCCTGATCTCAAGTGATCTGCCTGCCTCTGTCTCCCAAAGTGCTGGAATGACAGGTATGAACCACTAAGCCTGGCCAGGGAGTCTTCTTGATCCTTTTAATGATTCTGTCAGGGAGTTCGGATGTACTCTTGTGGAAGTGTGGGTAAAAACACATTTGTAAAGTAGAAGTGCTGAGATGAAGTCATTTCTTTCAAAGAAATAAAAATATAAGGAATAAGGTTCTCTGTACCTTCCTTCCAGAACTTACACAAACGAGTCTGAGAGACTAGCAGGAAATAATGTTAAGCCTAAACCTGATGAACTTTTAGTGTGGCCGCAAACAAAAGTTGAGAGTTTGCTTCATTTTTACTCGCTGATCTGTAACAGTATAGTTAGTGAAATATCATAAGCAACACATAGTACTTTTATCAAAATACTACCAGAATTACAAATAAAATTTTCAGTAGCTAATTTAAGAAAATCTTTCATTTAAAAGGAGGAAGGTAATGAACTATTTGGGAACGCTTTAAAGAAACAGTTGCTTAACATAACTATATCCTAATGTATTATAATCTTTATTACAAAACAAATAAAACAAGTATTTTATATTGAGGTAACATTTCAAATGGTATCTGGCAAAAATCAGTTGCATCTTATATACAGAATTTTTCTCTGTAAAGGACTCAGAGAACAGTTTTTTTATAGCATTGCACATAAACTGATTTTTAAAAAAATAAAGCTGAAAAGTATCTAAGTAAAGAGGAATTTCTTTCTCCCTCTCCTTCATATCATCACTGGTGATCAGTAAGGTGATGTTTATGGGAGTTCTACAAAAAAAAAAAAAAATGTGAATTGAGTAAATTAATTGGGAAAAAAAGATTTTCTTATCTAAAACAACTCACTGTGCCATAATTTCAATGTGATTTTGCAAAGAAAATATTTAATCCTATAGAATTAACTATTATTTATCCCAAGAATTGAAATCTCCAGTCTCCAATGAGGAAACCCTATGCAACCTTTCAACTCCAGTGTCTTCTGCTATGAAGCCCTTCCTCGCTCTACAAAGCGTTGGTCACCCTTCTCAGTGCTCCCAGATAGATATCATGGTCATAGCTCTGTCTTGGTACTCACCATATTGGGTTGTAACAATTCTTGTTTCTCTTATACACGTCCCTCTTTAACTATGTAGCTTTATGGATCCCTATATGCTCCTCAGGAGCAAGAAACAAGTCTTCACCTGCTTTACGTTCCCAACACCCAGCACAGTGCCTGGTATATCGTGGACCCCCAATATCTTTGTTTGTTAGGCTGATGAGTTAGGAACTATCTCAGCTGCAAAGATATGCAGATCCTTTCATGCTTCTAGCCTCTTTGGATGGGTTCTGGTGTCACTCCACAGTATTTAAACCTCTATGAAATGATGACATCCTAGAAACAAGTGTAATGTCCAGCAATTCCTTTCAGGAAAAAAAAAAAAGGCATCTGGTTATTCTTTTGGTCAAAACATCAATAAATTATAGTTATCATGATACACTTTCAAACTCCCAAGGCTCCTTTAGGTGACAGCCACTTCTTAAGACAGCTGATGCTAATAGCCGTCTTGGCAGTCATTATCATCTTGGTCCCCAATGGGTTTGTTGTGATAGGCATCAACTGTTAATTTCCGGCTTTCTATCTCAATGTTTTTCAACTGGCCGTCTTCCTCACTGCTTGATTTGCTCTCCGTGGAGTTGCTATCTTCTTTAGATCTGCTGCTGTCTTGAGAGTCACTGTCATCTTCGTCAGACTGGCTTTCCTCACTCTGACTCTCTGCTGAGGCGCTGTGAGACTGGAGGCCCTCCTGGCTGGAGCTGTTCTCATCCTCGGGGGACTCCGGGCTTTCCTCTGAGGAGTTGAGGCTCTCGCTGGATTCGCTGTCTGCTTGCTCCTCTTTGGATTCACTTTCTGAGTGGGAGAGTGTATGCGAGCTGTCCTCTTCGCTGGAGTCACTGTCTTCCTGGTCTTCTACGTAACTGGTTGTGGGGTCGGGGTTATCTCCCCTGGACTCACTCACCACCTCTTCCCGAGACTCACTGCTGCTCTCTTGGGATGGAAGGTCCGCCTCTTGGCTGGACTCACTGCTGGGGCCATCTAGGTTTTGGCTGTCTTCCTGGGACGGATTCTCCTTGCTGTCTTCTTGAGAGTCACCCTTGCTGTCTCTCCTGGGTTGGCTGAGGCCAGCTTCTCTGGAGTTGCTGTTTTCTGTAGAGTCACTCTTGACTTCCTCCATCGTGTTGTTGTCATCAAGTTCACCTTTGTCATCTTCCTCTGAGATGCGAGACTTCCTAAAAATTTTTTTACTAGGATGCTCCACCAACTGGCTGTCACCGGAATCTTGAATGTTTGCCTGCCCGCTGTTTTCTCTAGATTCTTTTGATTTCATGCCTGCACTGTTCATTCTGGAGTTTCCCCTCTCACTCCTGATACTGTCTGGGTCATCACTCTGCATTCCCTCATCGTCAAACTCAGAGCCATCTCCATGGCTGCTCTCCCCCTCACTGCCACCGCCCACCCAGTGCTCTTCACTCTCACTCTCCTGAGTGGAGTCACCTCCCTCAGGCCTGCTGTCCACCTGGTCCTCATTGTCAAGGTCCCTGCTCTCACTGGTGGTATCTTGGGCACTGTCTTGCCCTTGTGGAGCGCCCTCTTCACTGGATTGTGTGGTGTCAGCAGAGTCCTCATCACTTCCCAGTCTGGAATTTCCTCCTTCTTGTCTGTCTTTGGGCCTTGGGCCATTGTCATCATCGCCAAAGGTGTCATCTCCACTGTCATCTTCCTCGTCATCTTTATCATATCCTTCTTCTCCTGTGCTCCTGGAGAAGCCACCAGTTGGTCTATAAATGTATTGACGATCATCAGAGCCCAGCCCCTCCTCTGACTCAGCACTGTCACTGGGGTCTTCATTTGCCTAGAATTTGGGGTTAACAGATGTGGTCAGTATTCCAGGAACTGATAGAGACGGAGTTATCTAGAGCCTGTCCAGTCTTTCTGCTTCCTTCTTCCTACATCCCCTCTAACCCATGATCAATTTTACTGCTCAATAATATCTCTACCAAAGCTTAAACAGGAAGGAAGAGGAGTTGAAACTCAAGTTGTTCCATTTTATATAAGCACACTTCACTCAATGCTGCCAACATTTTCTTAAAATCCTTTCTTGAAATCACATTTATGAAACTCGAATCATACTGTACATATAATTTCTTTAAAAAAAAATACTCTTGGGCCAGGTGCGGTGGCTTAAGCCTGTAGTCCCAGCACTTTGGGAGGCTAAGGAGGGCAGATCACAAGGTCAAGAGATCAAGACCATCCTGGCCAACATGGTGAAACCCCATCTCTACTAAAAATACAAAAAAAAAAAAAAAAATTAGCTGGATGTGGTGGCACACGCCTGTAGTCCCAGCTACTTGCGAGGCTGAGGCAGGAGAATTGCTTGAACCCAGGAGGTGGAGGTTGCAGTGAGCCGAGATTGCACCACAACATTCAAGGCTGGTGACAGAGCAAGACTCCATCTCAAAAAAAAAAAAAAAGAGAGAGAGAAACAAACTCTTCGATAATTGTTTATGAATTAAAGAGTTGGTTTATAATGCTTATGCATCAAAGTGTTTGGTGTAAAACAGAGTTTTAAAAAATACTGGCCGGGCGCGGTGGCTCACGCCTGTAATCCCAGCACTTTGAGAGGCCGAGGCGGGTGGATCACGAGGTCAAGAGATTGAGACCATCCTGGTCACATGGTGAAACCCCGTCTCTACTAAAACTACAAAAAATTAGCTGGGCATGGTGGCGCGTGCCTGTAATCCCAGCTACTCAGGAGGCTGAGGCAGGAGAATTGCCTGAACCCAG